GCTAGACCGGAGGCCGCTACCGTCTAAGATCCGGGCCGTCGCGTCTCTCACCTTCTTGGGCACCGTGGCACCCCTCCATTGACTAGGTCCGGCACCATCTAGGGCAGCAGCCGCGAAGCGGTCCTCAATCACGTACCCGACCTCCCGACATCTCGTCCACGAACTCGCTCCCTGCTCTCCTTCCTGACCTAACGCCTCCGGACAAATGCAAGAGCACGATGAGATAGGTGAGGAGAAGATAGGTGAAGGAGGGGAGGAGAGGATAGAATCCGTGTCCTGCCACACTCGGACATTCGGAAGACGAGCAGGGGATGGTTGCTGCTGGGTCCCCAAAGCTCGCTCCTCCTCGGGAACGGGGCACTGCCTCGCGACTGACAGCGCCAATCTAATATCTGACGTGGTCGCCCCCAGCCATGGACAGCTCAAACACACCAGACCTTCGGGGGAGGAAACTTCGATCCAGCGAGCCCTCTCTGGGACCATGCTAGCGATGCTCGAGCCCCCCCACGCATCCATGGCCAGCGCGACGAAAAGGGAAGCCTTCTCCTGGCCGGAGAGCGTCTTTGGCCTCCAGCCGAGCCTGTCTTCGAGATCTCCCGATCCGAGAAACGCCTTCCGAGAGCGGTCCCAGATTCCAAGAACCGGATCGCATCCTGAGGGTCCCACCCTAGGCTGCAGCCTGCGATGCCAGACTCCCATGTCTCGAAGAAAGACGTTAGTGCTGTCTACCTCCCTACTCTGGGCGCCAGACCTCGCGCTCAGCGAGGCAAGGAGGTCAGGATCCTCGTGGGCCCTCACGCTCGTGCCGTTCAGGCTGGCTCCTGTGATCCCGACGCGCCCGGGGACGACGGCGCCGAAGAGGCCTGCAGCTGCATCCGGGACATCATCATCGCGATCCTCATCATCTCCTCGTCGCTCAGGCCCTGGCGCGGCTGGCGCATCACCTCGGATACCCTCTGGTAGACTCTCTCGTTCTGCGCGCGCTGCTGCTCGATCACCACCGTCATGTCCGCGAGGGCCCGCATCATCTCGGCTGTCGTCATCGGCCTTGTCCCCGGCGGCGCCTTGGCCGGCACGCTCTGCGCCTTCGCCGGAGGGGGGTGCTTCACGGGAACGTAACCCTCGGCCGCATTCACGTAGAGGGCCATTGGCACGGCCGTTTCCTTGACCGTCGGGACTTCCGCCTTGACCCCCACAATCTCGCGGCCCCGGCTCTCGTGAAGCCAGAGTTGCTCGCTCACTGGGTCGAGACGCTTCTTCACCTGCGTAGGCTGCGGCGCCCACGGGTCTGTCTCGCCCGTCCCCTCGAGAGCCTGCGCGTACTCCTCGAGCTCCTTGGCCACTATCTGCTTCACCTCCCGGCGTGTCTGCGCCGCCTTTGCCTTCACCAGCTTCTTCTTGGCAGCCTCGAGCTTCTCCTCGGGCGTCTTCTTGTGGTAGGCAATGCGTGTGTCGCACCTGCGGCAGTACGTGTAAGCGGCGTGCGCATTCGCCCCTGACCACTGGGCCCACGGCGGACGCGGGCACTCCTCTGGATTCGCCTCGCCGCGCTGCAGGAGGTGAGGGACCATGCCTGAAACCGAGCGCATGTTCTCTGTCGCCGTCACCGAGCCCATCAGCTTCAGAAACATCGAACGCCACCGAGCGCTCGCCGGGCCGAGACGAAGCTGGCCGGCCAGGAACAGGTCCTTCTCGTGCTCCGTCATCTCCTCTGCCTGTAGCATCTCCGCGATCTGCATCGCCATGTAATCGTCCTGCTCCTCGTCCGTCGCGGAGGCCTCTGCACCGAGCTTCTCCCAGGGACTGGTGCCCTCCGGGTCGCTGACCTCGTCCTCTGGCACGCTGTGGAGACGGCGCCTCCCCGGGCTCTCTGACGCCTCGCGCCTCTTGTTGATCGTCTTGCGCGAGCGAGCGGCGGACGTCGCCATCGCTCTCGTCGAGAGGCTGCCGTGGGGAGAAAGAAGCTAGCCTCGCTCGAGCCTGAGGGGCTACGGATCCGCTTGAGTCACGCCTGCTGCCCCCAGTAGCGGGCCCCCTTGGAGCGCGATTATCTTCGACGGGCCCCCGGAGCTCCCGGGAGGAGAGAGAAGGAGGAGACTGCTCTAGGAGGCACACTCTCGCCTCCGACTGCGCCCTACCCCCATCACCCACCCTCAGGTCCTGACCCACTGGCGGGAAGCACTCCTCCGGCAAGGACGCACGGACCGCGTGGGACACCTCGAAGTGCTTTGCGTCGCCGAAGATGAGGCTGACCGAGCGGTGCCCCGATGGGTGCCTGAACAGAGGCCTGGACACCCGGGTCTCTCCCTCGTCGACCTCGAGCGTGCCTGTCCTGAGATCGATCACGGCGCCCATCAACTCCAGCAGTCTCGCTGGAAGAAGCGGAGGGCACCGATGAGGAATGACGAGAAACTCCACGAAGCCGTAGTTCGCAATCGAGATCGGCACCCACGCCTTGCCGATCGGCTCGGTCTTGCCGCCGATCCCGCTCGCCGTCTGGCCTGTCACCCCTCCCATCTCGTAGTGCACGTGGTAGCCTCTCTTCCGAAACGCCGTCACGAGTATCTCAAGATCCTCTCTGCCGATCGGCGCCTGTCCGGCCGCGGCGCCCACCAGGGCGTGCTCCATCATCGAGCGCAGCGAGATATTCACCGGGCCCTGCTGGATGTCCTTGATAATGCCGGTCCAGGCCTCCACGGTGCTGGCTTCGAAGAAGTCCAAGTGTCGCTCGAAGTCCGGGGGTTCGTCGTCGTTCTGAAAGAAATATGATCTCGGAGCTCCAGTCGCGTCCTTACCCTCGGCAGCTAGTCTATCTTGCTTAGATCGAAACGGTTTGCGGCATGACTCGGCCCAGTGCCCCTTCTCACCACAGTTCGCGCACCGAGACCGCCGCTTCAAGTCTCCAGACGCGATTCGCTTGTACCCCGGGCGAGCGGCTCTCTTCTTGTCGAAGAAGTCTCGCTCGATCTTCTTGTTTGCCTTCATCTTGCGCGCCTCTGCCCAGGATCTCCGTTTGTCCTTCCCCAGCTTCTCCTCGATCACGGCCGCGAGGACGATCATGAGCTCCTCCTCGGGGAGCTCCTGCTCCTCAAGAGCCGAGAGGAAGGTCTCCGCCTCGGCCTCGGGCAGCTCGAACGTGTCGTCCGGTGGATCCGAGAAGTAGGAGTCCACGTCGACTGAGACCTGCCTCGGGGGAGGAGGAGCATCCTCCACGTCAGCCTCTGCGTAGGACTTCGACCCCGAGCTCGGGTTAGTCATCGTCGGAATCACGCTCTTCTCCCGGGTGTCGAGCTTCAACAAAGCCTCACGAATGGATCTGAAGTCAGTCAACCCTCCTGCCAGAGTGCGCATGTTCATCTTATTCTGCGCGGTCAAGTTAGCTCCTTCTTCCAAATATCTCGCTAGAACATTATCTGGCAGTGTGAGTCCATGTGTTTCTGCCTCGGCGATCTGGACGTCTCGACGGAGAATATAATCTGTGATCGACTCGCCCCTGTGGAGCGCGAAGTCGAATAGCGCTGCTGACTGCGCCTCCCTCTGCCTGTCACCGGGGCGCTCTCCATTTAGAATGGCCAAGTGTTTGACAATCTTATCTACTCCATCGATGTCGTCGAGGGTGCCCCTGATCGCTCTAAACTTCTGCTGGATGTCGACCGGGAAGCTCTCGAGCACCTTGCCGGCACGCACCTCTGGTCGATACCCTGTCCTGCCAGCCCAGCTCGTCAGGTTCAAGCGGTAGAGCTCGAGATGCTCGAACCCGAGCCAGAGCGGCGGTGGTCCGTAGTCTCTGCTCGCTGGAACTTCCCACCTGCTGGCACTCCACGGCTCCTGGGCCCAGGCTGCTGGCTCCTCGTGCCAGCGTCCGCCCGAGCTGCTGGCCCAGGGTTCTCCTCGAGCGCCCGCCGCAGTGCCATGAGTGTAGCTGTCCCACGCTTCACTCCAGCTGCGGCTCCTCGATGCCCATGCTTCTTCGTCGCCGTCGCCGGCGACCCATGTCCAGCGCCACCAGCCTGAGGGAGAGGAGTATCCGTGAGCGTCGTTCGCCTGCCTCACGGGTTCCTCCCAGGCGTCCTGGACGCCCTCCTCGGTCTGGATCGCCACACTACGATTCACCTCTTCCTGCTGCTCTACTGTGCCTCGCGTCGCCATGAATGTCCCTCCAGTAGGCCCCTCGTCTCCTTCGCCACCAGCTCCGCTTACCACTGTCTCACCATCGCAGGGCATGCTGGGGTCCAGGGTCGATGAGACGGGGGCCTCTTTTAGGACACATGAGCGCTAACGCACACAAGCATCAAAACCAAAGCGGCTATACACGGGCCGAGCAAGAGAGGCGGAGGTACGAAGAGGAAAGACAGGGGGCCCATCCAAGTCGCACTTAGGGGTAGGGGGGACAGTTCCCCAAGAGGCCCAACCCTGAGACCCCAGGACGTCCATGATTTTTTGGTGGCACGGCTTCCCAAGGGCCCCAGGACGTCACGGCTTCCCATGGCAAAACCATCGAAACCCAAGGCACCCTGAAGGCAAGCATGGTGTTTCGTGGCGTGGGTCTCCACTGTAGAGCCTCTGGCGGCCGATCTGGACACCCACTGGACGACGCCCTCGGCGAGGCGCAGCTGCTGGAAGGCGTCCCAGGACTGGAAGACCGCCGAGCGCCGACAAACAAATGCAAATACCTCAAGCGTGCCACCTCTATTGCGGCAGCAATCCTCAACGACGACGACGACGATGGAAGTAGAAACAACTGCAGCAACACAAACTGTTGGCGCTCCGCGCGGATTTCTTGGATCTGCGCTGGGCCCCCCTCCCTGGCGCGCGGAGCGCACCAGGGGCGGCGCTAGAGGCGCCGCCAGGGTGGCCCAGCGCGGATCCAAGAAATCTGCGCGGAGCGACAAAAGTTTATGCTTCTGTAGTTGTTGTTCTTTCTCGAGACGACCACAATGGCGGCGGCGACAGCGGCGACGACAACGGCGGGCGACGCCGGCGGGCGACCGGGCGGTGGCTCCTGCTGCGTGCTCGCGGCTCGCCTGCGGTCTGCGGGCAGGATGAGGGTGGGGGCCTCGGCGGGAGGAGCTTTTATGGGCGGTGCGGGCGGTGGAAGGAGAGGAGGACGAGGAGAGGGAGGAGGAGGGAGGAGGCGGAGGAGGAGGGAGTGAGAGAGGAGGGAGGGAGGGGAGGATGGGCGGGAGGACGGGAGGACGGGAGGAGGACAGGGGGAAAGGAGGAAAGATGAGCGAGGATGCAGAGGAGGAGGAAGGGGAGGAGGAGGAGGAGGAGGAGGAGGAGGAGGAGAAGGAGGAGGAGAACGCGTGCGGAGGACGAGGAGGGGGTTGGAGAAGGAGGAGGAGCAGGAGGCTTAGGAGTGGCTTGACCATTTTTGTTGTTTGAGGTGTATCCAGGGGGCAAGGAGGAGGGGGAGGACGAGAAGGGGGGGTGCGAGAGGAGAGGGAGGAAGAAAAGAAAGGGGAGCAGGATGGCCCTATACTCTTCTTCCCCCCACCTTCCTCTTCTATGATTTGCTTTCTTCCTGCTGCCTCCTCTCCCTATCTCTCCTTCTCGCTCCTCCCTCACCTCCTTCCTCCTGAACCTTCTCCTCCTTCTCCTCCTTCTATGTATCCTCCTCCTTCTCCTTTCTCCAGGTCCGTTGTCGTTCCTCTTGTTCGTCATCCTAAACTCCTTCCCCTCCTCCTCGTCCTCCTCCTCCTCCTCCTCCTCGCGCGAGCGGGGGGAGGGGGAGGGGGAGGAGGCGAGAGAGGATCGGGCAGGAAAAGGGGGGACGGGTAGGGACGGGGCAACGGCTTTAGCGGTGCTCTTGGGACTGCGACGATGATGGGGGTCGGCAGGAGGAGAAGGGATCATGAGAGAGAGAGAGGGAGGAGGGACGAGCAGTAGAAGCAATTCAGGGATGTGGGAAAAGGGGGGAAGGAAGAGGAGAACAACATGATGAGGAGAGGGGAGGCGAGGACGACGATGACGAGGAGAAAGCGGAGGGGAGATACCGCAAGGTGCAGAGGGTGAGGAAGGGACCGTAGGAGGGGGTGGAATAGGAGGTCTCAAGAGAAGGGGAAAGACGCGGGACGTAGGCGCATGGCTGGAGACGCGCAATGCACAATGTGATCGATGCCACCACTCTGGCCGCTCGGCCATGCGCTGACCCGGAGTCTAGGGACTCCTGGATATCATCAACAGCTTTGTTCGTGGCATGTACGGATGGTGAAGGGCCACTAGTTGTGCACATCTGAAGGGGCCCTGGGACACACACATGAATACACACAAATCACAGGACCCCCCCCCCAGATTTTCCCATACGTTCTGGGTTTGTGTCTTCCCCCCCCACTTCCCACATGCTCCCAGACGTTCTAGGGCATCGACGACGAATTGTGCCTGTGTGCTCTCTTCCTTCCTGAACATCGCGCCCACCCTGTCGGCTCCCTCGCCGCGACCTTCGGAGCGGCGGCGCGTGCTGCTTGGCAGCTCCGCGCGCCTGCCCCGCACGCGGACGCCGAGGAGACCGCGCCGAGAGCAGAGCTTCAGCGCCCCTCAAACGGGGACTCCACTAACGGGTACTTTGGCCAGTGACCCAGCGAACCCAACCCTTCCCGATGTGGGCAACGCTGCAATGCAAGAAAAAGGCCCTAAAGCGGCAACTTTCGGCAAAAAATCAAGAAGTACCCGTTAGTAAGTACCCGTTACGGTGCCGCTGAGAGCTGAGCACTCGTCTCGGGCCGGGCGAAAGGGGGGGATAGCAAAAGGGGGGGGGGAGAATCAACTCACGCAGCTGACTTTCCCAGCGCCTCCCGTCGCCAGGAGGCGCCCATGTATCGAGGAATGGGCCCGGCGGCGGGGCCGAAACCAGCCGCACGCAGCACATGTCGTAACCCTCCCCTTCCCAATTCCCCCCTTTCGTCCGGCCCGATTGTCACGAGGAGGCCGATCAGGGCAGATCAGGCCGCCCAGGGCCTATGATGAGCCGTACACGCGGACGTGGAGAAAAGTAAAAGCACCACCTGGAGGATGGAGGCAGAGGGTGGTCAGGGGTGGTGGTGGTGGTGGTGGTGGTGGTGGTGGTGGTGGTGGTGGTGGTGGTGGTGGTGGTGGTGGTGTACAATCGGACCTCGGGCAGAAGACTTTCGTCAAGAACATGAGACCCTCCGACAGCCATAGCTCCCTCAGATCCGAGGTGGCCGACCAAAAACAAACGACATCGCGAAGCACATGCGACCAGAGCCCTGCGCACCGTCTTGCTGCCGCATGTTTCGAGCCTGATCTGCCCGGGGCCCAGTCCACTTTGGCTCCGCCGTCCTACGCCATGTGTGTGACCCACTTCTTCCCGCCGGCTTGTGCGGGCTGCTCGCTGTTCTCCTGGCGACGACCCGTCCCCGCCGCGGGCGCCCCGAAGGCGAGGCCCTCGCCAGCTGCCGCCCGGGGGGGCCCTGCGCCCGGCAGCGACGGCGGCGGCTCCGAGGGGCTCGCGGCCCGCGCTGCGCCCCCGCCCTGCCCGACCGGCAGCCACCGGGCGCTGCTAGGAGTGCCCCTGGCCCAGGGCTCCCCCCCGGACTCCTGGGGTGGCCCAGACGGCCTTGCAGGGCATGCCCATCACGAGGGCCAGAGGGCCCCCAGGGGCTCCCAGGATGGAGCGATCGGGGGTCGAGGGCCGCGGAGTTAGTAGCGGGAAAGAGGGATGAGGTGAGGATGAGGAGTGAGGATGAGGAGGGGATGACGAGGATGATAAGGAGGAGGTTGGGAAGGAGGAGGATGAGGAGGGAGGAGTAGGGAGGAGGAGGATGAGTAGGACGAGGGGGGGAGGATAATGAGGGGAGGAGGTAGGATGAGAGGATGAGGAGAGAGGAGGAGGAGGAGGCGGAGGAGGAAGGAGGAGAGTGTGGTCGCTGAGTCCAGCAGGTGCGCTTGTCCAGGCACGGGACACGCGGCACGCGGTCGACAACGGGAACGGCACGGGCCCCGAAGCTAGGAGAGAGCACGAGCGGTGCGGCTCTCCGTCGCCGCGCCAGGGCGTGGCGGCCTGTCGGGCCGTGGCTCGAGCCTCGCGGGGGCGCGGGCGGAAGCGCGAGGCGAGCGAGGCGCGCGGGAGGCTCTTGTCGCCCTCGCTCCCTCCGCCGCCCACCGCCCCCCGCCCCCCCCCCCACCCCCCCTCTGACGCTCGTGCGCAGCTGCGGGCGGGCGATCGGGCACCTGGCCACGGGGCCGGAGCGCCAGGGCCTCTGGAGACGCCTCGCCCCTCCCCGCTCTCGCGCGCACACCCCGCCAAGCCCCCTCTTCCACGCCACCCACACAGCCCTTCCCACCCTCGCGCTCCCACCCCACTAACCCCCCTCCCATGCCCCCTCCCCCTCCCCCACCCGGCCCCGAGGTGGGCAGGCAATTCTGCGCACTTTCGGGACCACGTGCTCAGGAGCAGGCCCGATCCACGTGCTTGGCGGGAAGAAGGGGGAGGAGGAGAGGAACAACAACAACATCGTCTGAGGAGACCCAGCACCCTGTGCTGAGAAGGTAAGGGGGGATGTCAGGGTGGGAGGACGAGGATCAGGACGAGGCAGCGGAGGATAGGGGGGAAAAGGGGAAAAAGAGCGTGAGGAGGATCAGCAGGAGGGGGAGACATCCCCGTCAAGCCTGGTCCTCCTCCTCCTCCTCCTCCTTCTCCTCCTCCTCCTCCTTCACCTCCTCTTAAACCTCCTGGTCGGCGTCGTCATCGTCGTCGTCGTCGTCATCATCATCATCAGCCGCCGCATCATCACCACCACCATCATCATCAGCCGCAGCAGCAATACTATCACAGCCATCACCACCACCACCATCGCCATCACCACGTCATCATCGTCAGCATCATCATCATCATCATCATCATCATCATCATCAGCAACATCATCACTTGCGTCAACATCAATTTCGTCATCATCATCACCATCACCATCAACCGCACAACCACCACCACCACTACCATCATAAGTCTCATCAGCATCATCAGCATCAGCATCAACATCAACATTAGCGTCACCACCATCATCACCACATTCATCAGCATCAGCATAACCATAATCATCATCATCATCAAAATTATCATCAGCATCGGCACAGCATCATCATCATCATCATCAACAGCGTCATCATCATCATCATCATCATCATCATCATCATCATCATCATCATGATCAATTTCTTCGTCATCCTCATCATCAGCATCATCATCATCAGCATCATCATTTTCTTTGTAATCATCATCAACAACAGCATCATCATCATAATCTTCATCAGCATCATCCTCCTCCTCTTCATCATCATCATCATCATCACCACCATCATCATCATCATCATCGTCATCATCATCATCATCATCATCACCATCACCATCATCATCATCACCATCATCAGCATCAGCATCAGCATCAGCATCAGCATCAACATCAACAACATCATCATCATCATCATCATCATCATCATCATCATCATCATCATCATCATCATCCATGAAACACCGCTAGCCGTGGCAACGAGGGCGGCCCGGAGCCCAAGAACGGGAACAGAAAGACGCTCCGAAACTTCGATCCGATCTTTGATCCCTCGCCCACTCCGGCCTCCGAGCTGGATCTGCAGCGCAGCGCCGCGTCAGACCCTCCCCGATGCCACGAAAAGGAGGATCCAGATCTGGGGCGTCAAGACGTCGTGCTCTTGTAGGTTATCACTCATGGGGGACGAGGGGGGCGGGGAACAGCTCAGGTGAGGGAAGGGGAACATCGAGCTTGACCTGGCGACACATAGCCGGTAGACCGACGGAAGGCCGCCGACAGCGAAACCGCACGTTCCCCGGCGGGGTGAGCCTATCGGGCCCCTATCCGCGATGAGTGGGCGATTGGGTGTCGATGCGCCCCCCCCCCGAAAATTGCCCCTGAGATACGTGGCCCTCAAGCCGCGGACCGCTGCTCCATCCCGGACCGTTTCCTGCCGGCCATGGGCCCCGACACGGGCCTCTCCAGAGGTCCAAGGTGCTGAAATACCGGCCGACCTGGATCCCTCCTTCCCAGACCTGCGATGTCAGACGTTTGTCAATCCAGGGCCACCAGGACCCCCGACTCTTTCCCCTGGACTGGCTTATCATCCCGAGCCTGATCTTGACGACCCCTGGGCCCGGCGAAGGGCCCCATGGAGACCGACAGCGGCCAGCACACCCAGACGTGATGCTGCTTCTCGCCGCGAGCACGTCTGGGCTCGTGCGGTCGGGCCCTTTTGCTTGTAGCGTGTCGCAGCGGCGGCCTCTGTGACACGCTATGCTCTGCGAGGAGCGGATAGCGAGTCGCTCCCTTCCGCGGGGTGGGAGGCTGGGAAAGGTTCGGGACGTTGGCCCTGGGGACTGGGAAGTGAATAACGTGTCGTGCTGAAGCGCGGTGGGTCAGGAATCGGCGGCGCGACACGCTAAGCCTAAGTTCCTGACCCTAGGAGGAGGAGTCCTTCGAGAAAGATGGAGGGGACTGGAGGTCCAAGGTGCGGAGGAGCATGAACGGAAGAGGAGGAGGAGGAGGAGGAGGAAGGTGATGACGGGAAGGAATACGAGGACGAGGACCGTATATCCAAAACTTACCGACCGTATATCTCCACCATATCGAAGACGTCGCCACTGAGGCGCACCGAGGGCAGCCGCGATGAGCAGCCTCGAAGGGCCAGTTCGGCTTTCTGAGGGCGGGGCGGCGGCGAGCTGGCCGCGGGGCCCGTAGCTCCACACCTTTGCGAAGCACTCCCGGGGAGGAGAAGGGCCGAGGAGGGCTAAGCCTCCTCCTCGACCTCGTCTTCCTCCTCTTCCTACTCCTCCCCCGTCCTCCTCCTCCTCCTCCTCCTCCTCCTCCCCTCCTCCTCCTCTCCTCCTCCCTCCTCCTCCTCCATCCTCCTCCTCCTCCTCCTCCTCCTCCTCTCCTCCTCCTCTCCTCCTCCCCCTCCCCTACCACAATTGCACAATATGAAAATACTCTCCCACTTCCCCTGATGGCGTCCCGAAAATATCCGCCCCCCCCCCCGCGTACTGTTTTTTTCACACACAGGATTCCTGGGAAACGGGTTTTCGCCGGCGTTTTTTCCTAAATGCTGCTCTCGCTGGGGCGCCGGCCTCATTTCTGTTCCCGAATCGTTCCGAATCGTGCTCCCGCTGCAGCGTGGGCCTCATTTTCGGATCGGTGTTTGGCCTCCGTCGTTCAGGATGGCGTTCTCGCCCCAG